TGCTAAAGGTTGATTAAAAAGAAAGGAAGCCGAATGAACAGTGAGGACAGTATTCAAGTACCAGATGACTGGGGGGCTGGTTTTGGCACTAGTGTGCATTCGACTGGAAACAAGAAGTTCAACCGGTGGGAGGGCGGCAGCATTCTTGAAGTCTGGGGACTCCGTCACGCGGTACAGAGAAAGGGGTACAGCCTTTTGCAAGAGGGGAACAATTGTAGTAGGGCTGGCATAAAGTTAAGGGAAAGAGACGTTAAGAATTTTAAATTTGTTCAGCGGGAAATAGAAATTTGTGCTAGGTATTAGAGAGCTCGCTTGCCAATTCTTTCAACAACTTGGCCGGTATATTGTCTGATCGGATGACTTTGTTTCCTTGAGGTTTTGCAGCTCTCTTTCCACTACAGATGTCGCGAATAATAGGGGCTTAAGCGCTGGACCAGCGTTTGAAACAGCACGGTTGACCTTGTGAAACTGAAGTTGGGTTGCCCTAGTGAATACCCATGCGAAGAACTGGTCGCAGTACTCAGCTTTCTCGTCATTTTCAACGACTTCTACGTCATTATCATCCGTAAGTACTGCAACGGGGTCCTTTTTAGTCGCCTATCAATAAAGAGGAGTAAGAGTTTGCGATTGTCTTAGGTCTGTTGGAAAATTCTTTATTAAAAATTTCTCCCTGCCTGACGGATCCACTTTTTGCCGCATTTCGCTGGCGATATAATTCATCAGGATGTAGTGGTGACCCAGTTTCTCCGAATAAGTTCCGTTTCTTATTTTTTTCTTCTTTAACTGTCCGTAAAGATCTGTTTTCAATCAAGCAGGGCAACTAGTCGTCTTAGGTACCTTCACCGGGCAAGGGTGTTTAATTAGATCTAATAAAATCGTCTTAAGCGATCTCCAGTCGTCTTCTGGACCCCCTTAAGGAGAAAGTTCAAATTCACGGACGCCAGTGTATACTGCGTCATAGAAAAAATCTGCCTTCCATACATTTGGCTGGCCTTCCGCTCTACTCAGAGGTCGAGAATTGAGTGAGTAATCCCACATTAGCGCCGTATGGCCACTTTTACTGAGCAGGGCACTGGAATGCATTTCGTCAGTGTAGGATGGTTCCTTCGTAAATAAAAGACCCCAGCAACTAGCTCTCTGGTCCTCTCGAAATCTGGTTAGCGACTTAACATTCAGTGCCAGAGAAAGATGAAGTGTGAGGCCCATTAACTTAAAACTAAAGGAAGTTGGCGCCCCTTCAACAATCGGGCTTTTCCAGTCTGTTTTAAGTGCGTTGAAATCACCAACATTAAGAACATCTTGCTGGGTAGCTGTTTCCTTCACCAGACT